CCCTAAACTCTGCTCTGTCCTGTGCCAATCGCACTGTCTCTGACACTCCCATCCCAATTATCCCAGTCACTGAATCAATCCACCTCCTAGAGGGCCTTGCCCCCCTGTGCCTGCCCCTCACACTCTCAAGCATGATGTCCTTCTCTAAGGACCAGTCTCTCCTTACAACATGACTAAAGTATGTAAGAAGAAGCCTCAGAATCCTTGCCTCCAAGGAGCAGCCCAGTTTGACTCTCTCCAGGATGAATCTGCTTGTTTTCTTAGCAGTCCATGGTAACCTCAATACTCTTCTCCTGCACCACAGATCAAAGGCATCAATTCTCCTTCTATCATCCCTAGTCATTGTCCAACTCTCTGATGCATAACAAGTGATTGTAAAGACCCTGGCCTGTATCAGACGCACCTTAGTCTTCAGAGTGACACCACTGTACTTTATAGAGGTCCCTAACAGCAGAATTTCCCATCGCCATACATCTTTTAATTTCCTGGCTGCTGGTGCCAAGAGTGTTGATTGCGGGCTGATTTAATAACAAAGACTCAAGTTCCAGCATTGTTGTTAGGTGCCACTGAGGACTCAGTGCTCAAAGCCTAAGAACAAGAGGGCTCTGGTGGCCTAGTGGAAAGAAGCTGCACTGTAATCCCAGAGGTGTGAGGTTCAAATCCACCAGATGGTCTGCTGGAAAAGGAGGGACAATCTCCTCCTGTAGCACTCAGATCCGATTTGAAGGTACACACACACACACACACACACAAAATAATTAATTTTTTTTTTAAAAAGCCTAAGAACAAGAGATCAAAACTTCACCCTGTTCTACCTCCTTCATGTTCTCCAACACATTCAGCCCACAGCTAGTCACTTTGTTACTCCATCTCATTGAGGGTCTTCCTTTCTTTCACTGACCGCTCTACCTTTCCCAACATGATGTCTTTTCCCGACGAATGGCTCATCCTAAAAACATGACCAAAGTAAACGAGACCAAACTGCATGACCCTGGCTTCTAAGCTTGCACTTGACTGGTTGCACTTCCAGCAGCAGGACAGCCTTATTTCCTCTTCTGGCAGCTTCCAACATTGTACTGATAAAAGCTCCCTTCTTACCTTAACGTTTAACTGAGGCTGAGAATTCATATAGTCAAACAGTAGCTGATAATTCTTGAACTGCTGGTCCCACTCCGTGCGTTCACAGTAGCGGAAGTCATCCCCCAGTGGGGCCAGGACAACTTTCGTACGGAAGAGCTTAGACTTCTTCCGGTACTGATCTAGAAGCATCTGCGCCCTACAAAGGGAAAAGGGGAAACAAGAATATTATTAAGAAAATGGGCCAGAACAGCCCACCTTCGTGAAGGCTCTGTGCGCACCGTGGCTTACAGGCACCCAGTACGAGCCCTCCCTGCCACCAATATGTTGAAGGGGGAAGGTCAGCTTGGCAAAAGGTGCGGAGGAGGAGGAGGAGGAGAGGCCAAGAGGAGACCAGCGAGGCTGTCAGCTAAGCTGCCTGCAAAAGTGGAAACCAATCCCGAAAAGGCAGCAGGAAAGGAGAAGTTTTCTGACCAACAAGTGCAAACAGAAGGGAAAAGGGGAGCAAAGGGAAAACAGGCTTAAGTGTCTAACCAAGAAACTAAAGAATATTTACCTGCAGAAAATGGAGAAACTAAAAATGAAGAGAGTCCAGCCTCTGATGAAGCAGGAGAGAAAGAAGTCAAGTCTGGCTGATATTTTTGTCTACCATGTCTTATTAGTGGTCTCTGTATCTCCCTTGCTTGTACAATCCAGAGTTATATTTTCATCAACTATTTTGTAAATTCAAGTTTTTTAGTAGCTCTAGAAACATTTTTTAAGAAGGAAAGCCCACTCCATCCCATTTTTAAGTGTAAATGCGTTTTTTAAGAGGTGAGAGCATTTGCTGGGTGTTTATTTTTTTGGTACAACCAGAAAACATGGGATGTTACAAATTGTGGGGGGCTTTGGATATCAGTGTAACATTCCATGAGGAAAGGGATCAGTTTTTATATCTCATAATACATAGCATACTTAACGTGTTGCCGCAAATGACGGTAATACATTGAAAAAAAAAAGTGTTTTTAAGCACGGTCGTCAATTTAACAGTGTGCGGCAACATGTTAGTGGCAATTTGGAGTCATAGTTATGCATTTATGATTTGGATATTTTAGATTAAGTCTACTTTCCATGTTTTTAGATACATAACTTAGAACACTGTTTAGTAAAATTTCTTCTTAAACATAACCACTCCCTTCTGATGGCTTTCTCCCTGTCAGAACTGTGTGGACTCTGTAACATCTTTAGTCTTGGTAGTCCAGTCTTCCTAATAACTTTGTTATGTGGTGTGAATGGTTGAAAAGTTGAATGTGTAGTTGTTTTTTGGTCAAACATTCTTCCAAGCGGTATAGCACTTGTCTGTCCATTTGCTGTACAGTGGTAACACGTGGTTGCCGTGATGCTAAGCACTGTGACACTCATGCTCAAATGTGATAATGATAACCCATGGTGGACAGTGTTTGGTGGAGCTCCCCGATTAAAACAAGTTTGGAAACAGGAGTGGCATCTACTTTCAAAATAACTTGCCTCCAGAAACTCTATGAATTTGGAAAAAGGAAGAAAGTTATACAAGTGATCAGGTCTCATTCATTGGGACACTATAAGTCTGACTCACCATCACTTAACAACAACAGTGTGTGTGATAGTAAACTGTGAATTAGTAGGACTTAATGAGTTTAGAGCTGTTGTACATAGGGTCACTATGAGTCGCAAGCAACTCGACGGCACAAAACAACAACAACAACAATGATGTGACAGTTTATCAACAATTGAAGATACTGGTACTTATTTTCTTCTTTATGAAAACTTCCTTCAAATTTAAAGCTGGACAGTCACTGGAATTTAGAAAATAATTATATCTATAGATTTTTGGTACATACATTAAGAATTGTATACAGGTTGTTCATAATGTTGCCCTTAAAAATAGAATACAAATCATGATTAAAAAAAGAAAATGGGACAGCTGATCAAAAATAAATTTTTGGAAATGTAATCTTATATTCTATATTAAAATGATTTATCAGAAAAGTACTGTTTTAACTACCTCTTCATTTTTATTACCTAGTTAAAATATTCATAGATTCTTATTAAAATTAACTTGCATTTGGTGTGATTTTCCAATAAATTCAAATAGATTTTCTCAGGAAAATATAGTCACATACCACCTGCCTTGGTATACAATTACTAAACTGACTCCCTGAAGTCCAGCAAGAGAGCTTAGATTTCAGATGAATAACCACTCTTTTACATGACTTTAGCCCAAAAAGACAATAAAGATTTCTCATGTGCAGGAACTTTGAAATCTGTTTTGCCTTCATTAATGTAAAACGGCCTGATTAGCTCAAAAGAAGGTAGATTATTCTAACCAAATAAAAATAAATAAACAAATACACAAATAAACAAAGTAATTAATTTGACCCTTAAACATTTTACAGAACTATATTCGGTTTTACAATAAAGAGCAATTCCTGAATGTCTGCCACCAATAATCTGAACATTTATCACAGCAACCTCCCCAGTACTGTTGCTGTTGTTCAAAACTGACCCTCTGGCAAGAATCTGAGGTAGTAAGTTGCACAAGGATTCAACTGCCCATCTTTCTCCTGTAAAGCCAATGATGGATTTTTAACTGCATTCTTTTGGACTGCCAATGCTGCTCCTTATGACTAGGCCACAAAGGCTCCTTAGTTAGCAGATAAAGCTGACTTGCTGAGTTTGCCATTTTGGTTCCTATATTCCTGGGTTTCTACCCATGACGCAAAAGGTCAGCTAAATATAATGTGCTGATGTGATGAAACTGCTTTTTTTATTTCATATTCTAGTTTTCTTCAGAACATTCTTTGGAATATGCTAAATTGAAGCAGCATTTGTAGAAGTCTGAGAATCAAAACTAAGAGGGAACACTTGTGAAAAAAGAAATTAGACACGCCAGTGAGCCCAGAGTAGTTTACTGTATAAATGATGTCAAAGCTAAGAAATGAGTGATACATGACAAACAGGATTTTTATTTAGAATTTAAACTTTCCATAATGTGCAACAATAATGTATTACCAGAGGTTAAATTAAATCTACTACATAAAAACTTTTAGAGAATATCCATGCTAAACAAAGATATTTTATAGAAATTAAAGTAAATCATTTAACCAAGAGCCTTAGATGATTTTTCAAAATTTATGATCTCTAAAATACCTTTAAAAATATTAAATCAATTCCAATAACCTGATACTTGGAAAGTACAATAAAACCACAATGTGTTGCTATAACATAATGCTTAGTTTTTAGAAACCAGCAAGCATTCAGTATTATACTTAATTTTTCACAATTAATTTACTCATATTCCACACTTACCATGAACAAGGTTAGAGTACTACTTTGTAACAGAGAAATGTTGTATACACAGAGTGAGAACCATCCCACAGCTGACCCACCAGCTGGTTTTAAGAGGCATTTAACTGCATGGAGGGAGACTGCCTGTCTTTTTCCAAGGGAGCAGCTGGTGGACTTAAGCAGCTTTATGTTAGCAGCAAAATTTCTTACTATTAAACCACTAGAGCTCCTTTGCAACAGAAAGTAGCTACTTTAAATTAAAAGCTGTCAAATTGTAACCAACTCATAGCTGAGCCTTCTGTAGGCTTTCAAAGGCTGTAAACTGCAAGGGAGGAGAATGTTAATCTTTCTCCTGTGGAGCAGCTGTCAGATTTGAATCATCTTTGGTTTGGCAGCACAACCCTATCCCCTAAATCACCAGAGTTCTCACATAAAATTAACCTGCTAGAAGTAAAGCCAAAAGACACAGGGGGAAAATATAACCAATAAACAAAACAATTTGATTGAGCTCATGCTCAAAAATGACCAACATAAAAATGAATGCTTCTCAAGGTTTTCTGCCAGATTTACTTTATCTTTCTTGTATGGATAAAACACAAATTAGTGGGTAGAAACTGCAAGCATTATTGACATGGCTTCTGTATTTGGCATTTATCCTAACTTACCACTTCTGCCCAGAAAATGTCGACAATGAGAAAATCTAGTGACCAACCCACATGGTCTGGCAGTTAGCAGATACAGAATAGATAAACTAATAACAAATGAATTTACCAATAGCAAGGAACACCAACTTAACTACAAACGGAAAATAAACTGTTGTCTGAAACATCAAATCAGTCAAAATTCAGTGGAAAAAGTAAATGTAAAATAGATGGTTTCAGACAAAAAAATTTTAAAAAACCAAAAACTCCACCTTTCATAAAAAATATTTCTCTACACAGTAGAAAAACCTGATAAGTTGGATATTATCAAAATGTACCATCTGATATGATTAAGTTTAATTTCATGAAGTTATTTAAAATCGAAAAATGTCATCGAACTAGAATGCAAGTGTCTGATCTCCATTCCTAACTAAGTCAAAGGGGAAAAAAACTTAGATATGAAGTAACTATAAAGTCAAGAATTCAAGACTTATAAGAATTTTTTTTAAAAAAAAAGAAAGAAAGGCAATAATTATAAACCAAGGTACAGAATTATTAAAATTCATCCATATACTCTCAGGTACCTGCACTTTCATAATCACTGAAACTAATGGAGTGCAAGGTTATGTCCCTGGCAGATAATCTTGGAAAGGCTAGAGAGTATCACAGAAGTTCACAAAGATTTTCCCCTGATAGGGAGCTCTTGTATTCTAGCTGTAAGGAGCTACACTGTCACTCTAAAGCCACTATGGTTCAAATTCACCAGTTGCTCTGCAGGAGAAAGATGGGCAATTAACTCCCATGCAATTTACTGCCTCTGAAAACCCACTGTAGGGTCAACTGTGGATCTGTTCAGACCTACAGTACTTAACAACAACAGTGGAAGCTTGTACCATAGACCACAGGAATTTGTACTACTAACTCAAAGGCCATCCCTCTCTGGCAGTTCTAAATCGACCAAGAGCTCCAAGAGAGAATGATGCACAATCTCCTCTCATGCAACTGACACTTTTGGAAACAATGGAGAGTCAGCTAAGTTGCCTCTGATGTGAAGGCAATGATAAGTGAGCAAATGAATGAATGTGTTTCAGTTGTTGTTGTTGTTGTTGTTGTTGTTGTTGTTGTTATGTGCCGTCGAGTTGTTTGCGACTCAAAGAGATCCTATGTACAACAGCCCTAAGCGCTGCTCTATCCTGTGCCAGTCGCACTGCCTCTGACACACCCATCCTGATTACCCCAGTCACTGAATCAAGCACCCAAAAAATGATAAAGAGGGTCTCACAATACCTCTGAAAGTAGCAGGACCCCCCCTCTGAGCACCTGCTTAATCCTAAGCAGAAGTGTAATATAAATACCTGAGTATAAATATCTGGCTGTTTCCTCTTCTATATAGGCAAAGAGCTCTTCTTTCTTTTCCCCACACTTTATACAATAATATGCTTGTGTTTCCTCTCATTTTTAACTAGCAACATGCAGTCAACTATGACTCATAGCAACCCTATGAAAAACAGATCTGAACCTTGAGATACTAGGCTGCTCTCTAACCTTGGGCAGAGCTTTTCAAAACACCTAGGAAAGTCAGCACAGCCCTAGGCATTCAACAGACTACTATGCTGAAATGCTCTCATGACTTCGGTAGAAAGGGGCTTGGACTCGATTATTTTCTTTATGGCCACATGACTCATTCAAAGGAGTGACCTATTTTCACCTTTCACCTCACACACATTTAAAAAAAAATTGAGAGCGGAAAAATTTCTTTATTTAAAAGCCTGTATTATAAAGGGTGCCAAAGACAATATGTACGGCACAGGACAGGGTTCAGATCTTCTGTTTATAGGTTCATTATGAGTTGTGTTTAACTAGATGGCACCTAAGAATACAAAAATTATTTTTATAGCAGAGTTTAGTGTCTTATAATTGTAGTACAATGTTTTATTTCAATGCATTATGCAACACTAATTATTAAGTGAGGAAATTAAACTTTAAAAGCATCAAAATTAGAGAATCTAGGTAACATGGTTTAATGAGATGCTTCCATCATTAGCACAATTTTCATCTAGAAAGTGATTCAGTCCTTCAATTTTTATTTAAATGTCCTTAAATATTCCTAATTGAAGTTTTCTGTAAGTCAAAAACATCAGAAAGATGCAAAAATGAGTATTCATCAGAGCTGGGCGGCATTAACTATTATTGAAATTGTTATTAAGGGAACAGATAATTACACTTTTTATGTGTTCCATTTCAATAAATGTGTTTTTGCAGTTGAGCTGCTTTTCTTACCAATTTGTACAATAGGGCCCAGAAGTTTTATTATCAACAAAAGTATATAAAGTCAATCAAACGCAGCAGCAGACTTTTATAATGAGGGTAAAGGAGATGGTAATAATACTGTATTATAGGTTATCCATTGTATATTGATCTACTATTGTTCAACCTCCATTAAATTATAACACAGAAGAGGTAGAGTCAAAGCTCTGGCATTTTTAAGTAGTTTTAGATCAGGACTGAATGAATACCTTGAACTTGGATAATACTGACTAACTGCAGCCCATTTATTCAAGCCTTTAGAAACAAAGGGTTCAACTTTAGTCAAGATATTGTCTTAGAAAGCACATTACTTTCATACCTGTTTTGAATATTTCCAAGATATATTGTTTCTGGGGGGATCCCCCAGGGACAACCAACTCTGCCTCCTGGAAGTCGTTTGAAGTCAAATTGGCAGCATATTTTAGGGTCAGGCCCACAGGTGTGAGGGATGTCATAGCTGTAGAAGGGCATCATATGGCAAAAAATATCTGTCATAGATCCCAGATCTGAAATAAAGAGTCAACAGTCACATGAGCTTGTAAAATATATTTCCTAACACTTCTCAAATCCCCAAACTTTATGTATACATAATGCAAGCTATATCAAATCAACAGCCTCAGGAGCCTGGCACAATGTGCTCAACTATTAACCTATCTGTTGGTGGTTTGAACCTACACAACCACTTTTTTTGGAGGTGGGGGAAGAGCTGGTGACAAATTCCCATAAAGATTATAGCTCAGAAAACCACCAAAAGCCCACTGACGTCAAGTCAATTCTGATTTATTGCTACTCTCCCTCAGATTTGCAAGGTTGTGTATTCTTATGGGAGGAGACTGCCCATCTTCCCTCTGCGGGGTAGTGAATAGACTCTAACTGCTCACCTTTTGATTAGTAAAGCGGCCTGTAATGGACTATGCCACCAGAGGAGCTCAACTCTAGAGGGTCATCATGATTTTGTATCAACTTAGAAGGCACTGAATAGCAACATCATCCACCAGCAGCATTTAATGTCCACTAATCTGAACCAATACTCTGACAATACAGAGGTAAGGAGTTGTACTACCAATCCAAAGGCAAGCTGTATTAGTCCACCAGCAGGTCCTCTAGGACAAGACTAGCAATCTCTTCCCACGCAAATTACAGCCTTTGAAAACCTGCTTAATGGTCAGGTATAAGTTGGTTCCAACTTGACAGTATATAACAACAATCTGAACCCAAGGGAGTTCTGGGGGTGTAGTCAACAGGGACTGCACTGTTAACTCAATGGTGGTTCCTCTCTTGCAATGGCTTCTCTGGAGAAATATGAGCAATCTCCTACAGTGGGATTTACCACCTCTGAAAATGTACTAGTGTGCCAGCTGAGCTGTTTCTGATTCAAAGGCAACATTAAGAAAGAGAGAATTTGAACACTGGGGTATTCATGCACACATATTAGGATCCTGACCATAATTCAGTGTTTCAAATGTACCAGGAGCAAGCACTAGCATAGATAAACAGGCAATGTCTTCATGTAAAACTTTTCAGCCTCAGAAGCCCAATGATGAATTTATGAGTCAGAACTGACTTGAGAGCACTGGGCTTTAAGTATGGAATTTTGTAAACTGTAATCTTTAAGAAAGCACATCACCTGATGATTTCCAAGAGGGACCCAAGGAAATTTTGCACCAAGAAAAGCTCAAGAAGGGGAAAAAATCCAAATTGTGAAAAGAAAATACTGAGGGGAAAAATCCCGAACAGAGTCTTGATGCAGAATAGTTTTTCATTAAAATCTAGATGCCAGTATGTGTTAACATAACTGCCCTGGAGAGGTCAGAAGTCAACAACCAAGTGAGCCGGCAAACTAACAACAACTAATTATCTTCATGGGTTGGATGCTGGGCTTTAAATTCGTCCTTGCTTTATGTATGGATTTTCATTTTTCAGCACCGAGTGAATTGCTGGTTTTATAACAATCAGACCAAGGGTAAAACAAAAAGCAATCTTTACACAGGGGAAAATAATACGAAAGGAACTGCTTCGTTAAGAAACAGAACACACAGAGCAGCTCAACTTAATCCTACAACATCTTCCTAAAGCAGTATGTACGTATCAATCAGGTACAGTCAAAAACACTCCAGTTTTACCATTCTAAATGATCACTCATTGTTTTTCACAGTCTCGGATGATTATAACCTGTATCTTTCTGTAACCTCCACCTATTGCACCCAGAGAGTCACATCCAGAATGTGTGACCACGAATGCCAGTCTCAAAGGATGCTCTTGACAAAGACACTAGCTTTAAGGGCTAAAATCAACTTCTGCCTCATTTTTCTTGATCAAAGACTCCACACTCCAATACTTTCTCCTCTCACAACAGTATTTAACAGTTCATTTACACTTTCTAATTCACTTGCAGCATTTGGCTATGCGTGACTTTTCTCAAATTAAGCAACAATTCTTTTTTTTTTTTTTCAATTAGCAAGGATGTTTTCTATATTGCTTTCAAGCAGGGTAAAAAAGTACATATTACCTACTGCTTACCAGTAAATTCTGATTCATGGCTACCCTCCATTGGCCTTCAGAGGCTGTAAATCTTTATGGGCAGTATCTACTGCCTGCCCTTTTTCCCATGGAGCTGCTAGTGAGTATGAAATAACAACCTTTTGCTTAGTATCCTGACACAGAAAAAACTATGCCACTAGGGCTTTTGTAAATCCATAATAAGGTTCAACAATTTCTTAAGCATGAACTAATATTTAAGGGTCATTTATATATAAGCAATGTTGTTGTTGTTGTTATGTGCCGTCGAGTCGCCTGTGACTCATAGCGACCCTATGTACAACAGCCCTAAACTCCGCTCTGTCCTGTGCCAATCGCACTCTCTGACACTCCCATCCCAATTATCCCA